TACACTGAAATTTTCATAAAATAATTTAGTTTTAACTTTTTCTCTGTAATTTAATTACTTCACTGCAATTGATGCTATTTCTAAATAAATGGATGCAAAGACTTGCAGAAACCCTGATCATTTCTATATGTTCATAGTATGCATCAATTTCTGTATTTATCGAATCCCCATCAACTTTCATATTTAATGATGATAATCCAGTTTATTGTTGCTCCTAAATCTTTTTGCAAAGAAAACAAATGTTTATTGAACGACTAAATCAGAAACATTTTTGAAACCAGCCACTAAAATTATACGTATATATTTTCCCCAAAAAGTGGCAAATGCCTCAATGGATAAAGAAATTAATTTGTACAAAAAATACTTCTTCACCAATATAAACACTTAATAATAGCCTATTCATAGACATAAGAAATATTTCTCTTCGTAATATCGACTCGGCCGGTTCAGACCGGTATTTTTGGCATAATTTTTGAATTTTAACGATTGGGAAAGTGATGGTGAAAGGATATAAAAAAAGTTTTTGTTTAACCCATTCGTTCCCACTGTACTCGCTTGGTTACAAAAAAAGAACCGGATTCGTAATGCTAGATTATCCATAAGATTATTTTTATAAGCTTAAATATTGGTGTACTCGCTTGAGTACAATGCCTATTTTTTCATATATCTTAATTATCTTTTAAGGATGTTTATGTCCTTTTTGGTAAAAATTTTAGAAGGCTTGTAGGTGCTATTGATTATCTTTATAATAAAATCAGTTCACATTTAGATTTTTTCAAATATTGCCAAGAAATAGACAAAAAGGATTTGATAAATACAGTTAATTACTGGAGGATCTAGCAGACAACATTTTCGGTGAATGGGAATTGTATGACAGTAGTGCCAGTGAAGAATACATCCCATTTGATGAATTTTAATTAATTTTTTTTAGCAAAAAGTGCACTAAATATGGTAATTCAGAGAGAATTTCAATACATTTCATAGTAAATCTAATAGAAAAATTCTCAACACTAATTAGTTCTAATTTTTATGTAGGAAAGTACCAAAATATTAAAAAAAATAATAATAAAAATTGCTTTTAAAATTTTTTTATTTTTTGTATTTATACCCATATTGTCCCGTTGTACCCATCCGAGTACAGCCCAAAAATCGCATTTCCAAAATTTAAAAATTTTTTGTTCGTAAATTTTATTTTAAATTAAACCATAATAAGATACATTTTGCAACAAATAATTTAAATTTATTGATTTTAAGATGGTTGGGATCTAATGGGTTAAAACATATTTGTTGTATTGCTTTATATTTAGTTAACATTTGTTAAATAGTTTTTGACTTTTTAGCTACATCTACTCTATTGACAACACTGACACTACATCAGCAGGAGAGCAAATAAAGGTTTTGATTTAAATATAACATCTGTTTCATGGAGCATGGGCAATGCAAGAAGTAATATATTGTTGTTTTAGTATGAGTGTGTGGCAAAACAATTTTAGTAAAACGGGAAAATAATAAACATTTAATTTGAAACTTAAAATACTTTGTTTTGTTTTTTAGCAATAATTAAGTGCGTTATTATTTAAGAGGTTAAGGTTATTTTTTGTTTCAAATTTATTTTCCTTAAATTGTACACTTAACCTTGTTTGACTATATAAAACAGTAAAATTGTGTAAAAAGTTTTTTGCAAAAATAAACAATAATAAAGCAAAAAGTGTCGGGCTGTAGTATTACCAGATGCAATAAAAATATAACAAAACAAGTGCAATTATATTTTTGTGTATTTAGTTGAAAAAAAAAACTCAGGCATAGAGCGAGAGTGCGTGAGAGATAACTTTATTTAATAACAATAACATGCGGTATTTTAATCAGTGATGTTGATAGGGATTTAATTGTACAGTTTAAAGTATCTTTGAATTTTAAATTTAGTCAGAGAATATTATTTGAAAACAATAAATTAAAAAAGCTTGTATTAACCCTGATTTCGTATACGGATGAGTTCTAAACCCAAGCGCTAATGAAGAGGTTATATTTGTTTTATGTTAAACGGAATTTCAACTGTGAAATATATGAATGGTTAATGGAGCAATGAATATGGAATGTGAGATGTCCTGTTATAATGCAGGATTAAAAAACGTTGATGTTATGGACCAAAAACGTTTAAGTAACTTTTATATTAAAAAATATTTATTTCCTTTCAACATGATCGTAATTCAAAGGTCATATTCAATCAACCGTCTTTTGTTCGATTGTAATTTTTTGGGTTAATTAGGTTGACGGTGCATCCAACACTCAAATTTCCAGGTCCTGGTCACCAAATGACTTTCATATTAGTACTGCTTTAGTATGTCTTTTTACGCTTCGGAGAAGTTTTTCAGTGATGTTGCCATCTCAGGATATGTTGATTCATGCTACGCGACTAATTATCGGGCAATTATTGGGTTCAGTTGACTTTGGAAATTCCTACATCCTTTGTCACACGGATCAGTTCATATAGAGGGATCCTGATCCATTACTTTCGGGCTACCAAATACGTCTTTAGGTGCTGTTGCCAAAACAACATAGCCATCTCAGTTATGTAGTTGGGCGACATATAAGGTCCAGGAATGCACGGGTTGTGAGTCTTTAGATAATAATGAGAATGTTTGTAGGGACATGACATTCCTCATGTCATCAACGGGACTACTATGGCAACAGATTATATAGGTTGAGTACTTCAGCAAAGTGTTTGTACATTGACCGGCTCATGAAAAAGACCACCGTGAAATAAGGCCCTCAGGGCTGGTGCTCACGTTAAGCACTTCGACATTATTGTATCCATCAGTCCCCCGGGGCATGTTTCCTTAATGAAAGACTTTCATCTTTGTGTAAAGAAGTACTACCAGTACTTCTAGTCTGCTGGGACTATAAACTAGTGATGACAAATGTTTCCTCGGCCTCGGGGATCGAACTAGAGGTAGTACGGTTGGCCTGTTGCCCGCAGGTCTTTGTCCTGGCTGGTCAGTTGGTTGAGGTTCCTTCGGGATCCACGTAGTGGCTGTGGTTTACACTCAAATTTGCGTGAAGGTGAAATATATATAAGATTGATGCATGGTGAAGTATTATTTTTCTGGATAGGTTTCTGCTACCGCTCATGTACTAACCACAGGGTAAGGATCTGAATTAATAAAATGTTGGATTTGTGCTGATAATACAAAGATTGGGTATGCGTTGGTGTACGATTTACGATTTAGATGTCGGTTAGAGTGGCGCTGGATTTGGTTAAATCATTCACAGAGTTGTTAATACCTTAATCTTTAATTTATGTGCTGGAATTTACTCTAAAACATGCTCAATTTATCACTGTAGGTCCTTGTGGCAACTGTGCTTCGAAATATAAATTTGTTGTCCATAGGTGCTGTTGCCGAAACAACAGAGCCATCTCAGTAGTGTGGATGGGGACTTTAAGATGTCAAGGAATGCACCGCGGTGAGTCTTTAGATGATGAAAATGCTCTAGTGATATGAGTAGTCGTCATAACATCAATCGGTCTTAATGTTAGATTGTCTATCGACCCTAAAGTAGTCATTGCCTTTTCCTTGTCGGGGTTTGATTGAGCTCGACTCATGATACCTGTCATTTCTCAACGGGGCTACTATGGCAAGAGATTAGATAGCTCGAGTACTTGAGCAAAGTGCTTGTATATGGATCGGCAGAACCATGTACAAAAATTGCCACCTGCGTGGTAAGTCATCAAAGAAGCTCCTCATGTGAATGAAAAAGACCACCGTGAAATAAGGACAACACGGAAGGTGTTCATGTAAAGCACTTCGACATTCGGTCTCCAACAATATTAAGTTTTAAGAGTTTTAATGGCCTCCACGAGTATAAATATGAGTTTAAAATAAAAGGCCTCCACCAGATTATATCATGAGTAATTTATGGTATCCACCAGTTAAAAAACATAACCTCACTCTGTGACAAAACGAAAGCAGGCGTTTACTGTTGTCTACTCATAACTTGGAAACAATTATATGAATAAGTACATTAAATTTGACGGATATAGATGTATGTCGAAAATTTCGCAGCAAAACAAGCCTGGCCATTAACTCAGACCAGAATTACAACTGTTAAAAAAGTTCGAATTTGACGACGAATGGGACGTCTGTGGCAAAAGTAGTTCTTTCATGTTTTCAGCTCCGCTGTGAAAAGTATAGAACCGATTCGAAATTTTCCCGTATCAGCCCATAATAGGTTATAGCGTCCATAAGGAGCTACTACCGAAAATCATGTTAATGCATAGAATTCAGCTCTATGCGTTCTTTAATGATGAAACAAAACTGTGGCTTAACTCATTCTCTCAACAATGTTAACATACTTTTAAAATGTGTTCATACATTTTGTAAACAAACCCCTCTGAATATAGTTTGAGATAAGCCAGTCTTATAGTAAATGATATATTTTCAAAAGTGTTCCACTGTGCATCGTAACGATTTTAATTAAGTGCATTTTCTATACAAAGTTCCTTCCTACAATAAACCTTCAGTAACTTTATTAAGCGTTTATGAATACGGGGATAAGAGTTTAACTAATTCTTTGACTTAAAACATCTAGACGATTTTCCCCAATTGTTTATTTATAATATTTTATTTTTAAAATAAATATTTAACTACCTTTTAGTATTTATTTTAATTAGTACTTTTCATTACACATTTAGTACTTATTTTCGTGCATTTGAAATATCAACAATGGTATATATTTTTTAAATAATCATTATTACAGCATTTGAATCCACCAGCAATGAATCCACCACCAATACAAATGCAAACAGCTGTTAATTTTTTAACTCTCTGTTTTCTTTTTCTGCTGTCTCTACCAAACAAATACGAATTTCTCTTAAATTTATGCTATTCTCTCTCTATTTCTCTTTACACTAGTTGTGGTGGTTCGTTGAGCAGCATTGTTCCAACACCAAGTTGGAAATGAAACAAAACGCTATTCATATCAAATCAGTTTATTGGTGTTAACTCAGTTATTCGGTCGCAAAATCGGGACAAGAAAACTAACATAGAAAAAATTAAAAAAAACTAAATAGATGTATAGAAAAATAATGAAAAAATAACAACAAAACAAAGAAAATCTCTGTGAATTTGAATCGTTTTTTCATTTATGATTTTTTTTCTTTTTTGGTATGAGAAATACAAAAGAATCTGAAGTGAATTGGTGTGAGTGAATGTGTATCTTTAAGGTATAAAAATTGGCTAGGTACTAAATACAAACAGTGTAGATACAGGCATGTGTACATGTGTGTGTTAAAGTCTGAAAAATTGTTATTTTGCATCCATTCAAGCAACCAGCCATCTATAAATCAATTACAAAAGCAAGAAATAAAAAAAATGGAAAAATGTTAAAAAGTAGAGGAATGGAATAATTCATTTTAATTGTATGATTTGTGAAAAATTCTGTGCGTTCTATAGTTAGTTAGTGCCACAACTAAAAGGTCAATCACCTGAATGGCTTTTTTTCTGCGAGTGTTTTAAATTAGTGTCTGTGTGTGTACATATGTGTGAGTTGTTGTAGATGTGTTTGTGTTTTTGTTTGAAAACAAGTGTATCTCTAGAATTTGTGTAAATGGCACAGAATTGAAATTCGGATAAAAAAAAAACATAAAAATCTAAAACCAATAAGAAAAAAATCAATAAATTCAAATTATACCACAACATGAATACAATCGACAACAACAACAATAACAACCCAAAAAACAAAAGATGCCTGCACAGACATGTCCTCGTTTATTGAGTTTAAACACAATTTCTTTATTGAAAGAAGATAATAATAAAAAAAAACATATAAACATTTTGTGGTTTAGTTCTTTGTTTTCTAAATTTGTTTACACAAGTGCATTTCAAAGTGTTGCAGAATAATATAAAATTGAAAAAATAGGAAAAAAAAATTATTGTTTAATTTATTCAATTGTTTATGTATTCAATTGTTTCATTTCAAGTTAACAACAGCAACAATATGACGTGTAATAATTATTATGACAACAACAACAATATAAGCAACACCAATAAACAACAACGCCAACATCAGCAAATAATTTCTTAATTCTTTGTTTTATTTCTAGTTTATTGTTATTAAGTTACACATTGGCTTTAATACAGATAAACTAAACTAGAATATAACAAATATTAAACCCATCCAGCGACCGACCGACCGACCAAACACACGATCTATGTATGTAACCAACCACACCGATCCATCCAACCAACCAGTCATTCATTCATACATTTAACTAAATAAACTTAAAACAACATATATTTTAGTTTTCGTCTGTCTGTCTTTTTTTCATATCTCCATCTGACGTTAACAGATATTGACTACTACAACATCTTGTCATCCATTTTATTGCTGGGTTGGAAATATCATAATATTAATTAAGAAAACTTAAGTCTCTGAAGTTTACAAATTAACTTTTCTCTTTATGTTGTAATCGGAATAAAGTTATCTTTCCGAAATTATATAAAAGTTAAAAAATAATATTTTAAATTTCCGCAAAAAAACGAACAAGGGATTTTGCTATGTTCCCACGGAATTAAATTCTTAGTTCGCTTTCTGATTCCATAATGAAAGTTGTCCAAACAGTGAATTTTTTGTTGGTGGTGATTTCAAGGTCCACAACTCCTTTGGATTCGTTATTCATGCCATATAATTACAGAAAGCCAATATTCGCTGCGCACTACCACCTTAAGTAACTAGAGTATGACCCAAAACATATTCCATGTTTACAACACAACATAACACACTTGACCTTTTTCTGACTTCACACCCTGATAAGTATGAAGTAGATGTTCTTACACCTCTCGGTAATTTTGATAACTTTAACATTTCCGCCTCATCGAAACATTCAATCTGTGTATACGAAAAGGTTCGTTTGGTTGAGCTCAACAATTTCTTTTGGCACTTCAATTGGAAACTTTGCATGTTAGACAACAATGCCATGGTGAAAATGGTGGATGCTATAACCATGCTGGGAATGAAAACAAAATATCGTCGACTAGAACCAGATAAAAGCCCTGGTTTAATTAGAAATGCAAATGCATATGGTGTAACAACAAAAACGTCCAAACTTACTATGCAAAAAGGCCACATCTTCGTGTGCCAAAGTACTAAGGCGCGAGAAAAGATTTAAGTGTCTTCGTGCTAAGGATCTTACTGCTCCTCGGACCAGTAAAACCTTCTGGTCACTTAACCTATATCTAATAGCAATCTCTGAATGGGGTCGTGCTAATAATGTTGATTTCAATGGTCGTACAACTCAATGTTGTATTATAGGTTATGCGAATCTTAAGGAATCCGAATTCCTTGATATTCTGGCCATGAGAACAGTGCGATGTTTGCTCAAGAGACGAAAGAATCATTTAAGTGCCTCGGTTTTTTTAAAGGTTCACTCCATTTGAATTCCTTCTTATTTACATCACTTATATCCAAACTAAAATGGAATACATCTCTCATATATGTGCCAGTGCTTCAAAGTCTATTTTGGAGCTACTCGAGCGCATACAGGATAGGGCGAAGGTAATTATCGGTGACAGTAGGGTTCCACTCTATTGATTGGCTTGAGTAATGTCGTAATGTGGGGTGTGATTCACTCTTCTATCGATACTACAATGGAATGTGTTCTTCTGAAATTAGTGAACTTGTTCCCGGAATTAACAATATTTAGGCTAACGTGCTTTATATCTGGTCGATTGGAAAGTGGATCGTCGCACAATGCACTACAGAGAGAATTCGTTCTTTACTCGAACTGTACGTATGTGGAACAAACTTCCCCCAGAAATCTATGATGTCGCTTGTAAAGATCTATCCTTCCTTCCACTACCTACTTTCCTAGTTCTAACACAATCCACTGCATTAGTAGGGGACCTCTCCTGATAAAAGAAAAGATCAAACAATTCGATATAATGATAAAGTTATGGTACTAAAATTGCGAAGATTACTTTAAATTTAGTCACTGCTAGTGTAGGATATCTAGTTGTAAATACGAAAGACGATTCTTAATTTTAGAGGCGCTAATTCACCGAAATTGTGATCTTATTTTACCCAACGGTCGATCTTGGATGTCGGAGAACGATCATTTATAAAGTTTTATATTAAATATTCATTATGTTGAAATTCAATATAATTTTCCAACTCTGCACCATCGTGAGCAGAAAACAAACAACGCTATTGTTGTCGCCACTATTGCACCTTTACGTGTAGTACTAGTTATTGTTAAAGTATGTTGTTACGTGTCTGATTTGCTCTGGTTACTCGATTCTCCTTCTCTCTGATGGCTGATTGTTTTCGCTATTTAGTTCATTTACATGCCCTACACTAGGTTTACTATAATAGTCAACTATAACAATAACAATTGTATATAAACCTAGAACTAACATCTCTTCATAGTATATCAAGAAAACTAGTCCCCAGTTTCGTTTTTAAGGTGAAGTGACAAGTTCTAAACCATTATACAAAGGGAAGCTGTCACTTCAACATATGCTAACAGAAAGTGAATTAAAAATGTTTAGAACCAGCCTAAAGGTATTTTCAGACTACAATACTTGTCAAAAATGTTTGTATCATAATACAATTTACTAGTCTAAATATAATTTGTAATTTGATTTTCAAAAATATTACTGATTTTTTTGGCATACGGTCGGTATTCATAAATTTTTTAAAACAATTCAAAAACTTTTTATTTTTAAACGTATTCGGTATGTATTTTATAAATACAATAAAAAACAAACAAAAAGTGTAAAATACATTAAAAATAAGAACGAAAAGTGCATAAATAATTGAAAATTGGATAAAAAATATTACAAATATTATAGTGTAAACATAAAATGTATTTTTCGGATTGATTTTTTGAAAATGCGAATTATTTTCATAATATTTTTAATTTGAAGCGTGTTAATACTCAGTATTGTAGTCTGAAAATACCTTAAACGAACTTGAAATGTATTGAATATTGAAATACAGTTTGAGATACACATATGAATCACATTTTTAGGTCTTTTAGCGAGTTCTTGTTTACAAAACAAGAGAGACCATAAACCTGTTATTGAATATATTTCTTTTAAAAGTAAATTAAATGTATGTTTTTTATTTAAACTCCTCCACCATATTCGTAAAGATTTATATTTAATTAAAACAAACATTTATTTCCTACAAAATAAACAAATTTAAATAAAACATTGACTAAATTAAAAAATTGTTTAAATAGAGCGTAATGTAGTCGATTTAAACTAACTTTAATTTATTGGTTTATTTTATTTTCACATTTCTTTCTTTGTTTTGTTTTATGTATTTATTGTGATGTTTTTTTATTTAAAATTCATTTATATGAATGTGTATACACTATTTGAAAAAATAAATACGACAAAAAATATTTCGAAATGTTATAACAAAAATGGACTAAATATTTGCCACTCACAATCACAACCTTAAGCAGGTCAACAAGATTTTTTTTAATGAATCGACACTTTTGTCGAAAAAACCCACACACATAAATCAATTGAGTATTAAAATCAATCTTTTGTGCTAAAAGTAATTAATTTTGTCAAAACGACATTGAAATGTTAAAGAAAATTTTACTTTTTTTCCATTAAACGTAACTATAAGAAATGGTAACTAAGAGATTTTAATAAAAAAACCTAAACTAAGGAACTTTTGACTTCATGTCAATTTCAAAAACATTCGATTTATGTAACATCTAGTTTCTCACTGGGTATGTACATCATGTAAGTCGAACTTTGGGTTTGTTTTTCTATTTTATGAAAGTTGTCGGTAATAATTTCTCTCGATTTATCTTAGTCGAGCTTCATCGAGATGAATTCAGGTGTACCGCAAGATTCCCTACTCTATTTCTTATTTTCATAAACGACCTCCTATGTCAAACTTCCAACTCTATCTACTCTTTCGCCGAACAAATCAATATCTGTGTTTCTTTTTCATTCAATTATAGGCCCCATTAGATATTGGGACAATGAGGCACGATATGAATTAATCGCTCAATCACGACTTGATAACAATCTCTGAACGGGGTCATGTTTGTTGTTTAACATGCCAGATAATATTGTTTCATGTTCTGTTCTGGGCATGAAAATACCGTGTCCATCTGATTCCTTAATATTCTTATATCCAATCGAAAATGCAATATAACTCTAATAAATGGGCCAGAGTTTCCAAGTCAAATTTGATGCTACT